GGTAGTTGAAAAGCAAATTAAAATAGCTTTTTAACAACAAAAAAAAGAACCGATTTCAGAAAACTCTATCAGCACTTACAACTTTATAATAATACTAAATGTAATATAATCAAATCTTGAAAATATAACCTATTTATAAAACAAATGGATCGGCACACCGGTCTTATCTCGTTTCCGAAATTCATGGATATATGTATTTATGCACATATGATAAATAATCCTTGCCACCGTCACCGCAATGAAAAAAGGGTGACTACAAAACAGAATATTTTTGAGGATTTAATTATATTTTAAAAAAAACATCAATGACGCGCAAGAGACATAACGAAGAATAACGTTTAACCCTTTTTATCAGCTGTAAACAGTGCATTATCATCAGTGCATAAAGAAACTTAATCTCAGTCTTTTAATTCCTAAATTATTGTCACGTTTGACTTTTTACAATTTTCTTTTCTTTTGTAAAACCGTTGCCCTTACAATAGGATAACGTTATCCTGCCTAAGGTCGTTTCATGCCATAAATTTCACATGGAAAACACCAAGACCCGCAAATGCTGCATGTGGACCGCTGTATGTGGACGTACAACCTTTTGCTCCCAGCGTCGAAGAAAATGGCTACGCAACTGCGTCACAGAGACGTTGTACAATAATCCACAGGAATTTTCTTCGCTTGCCTCCTTTTATTTGAGATTTAGCTTTTTACTTCAAGTCAACTTCCACGTTAAAACATTTTTCAGGTGCTGTCTTAACTTAATTTAAGTGTATTTATTCCGTTTATAATATCTATATGTAAATCCATTCAATTTGAATGCCGCGATGATTGTTGATAGATTGATTTAAAACGGGAGAGAGTTCCATCGACTCGGAATTGAAAGCGGCTTAATTTTATAACCTTTATTTTTTAGACGATGTTTTCGTGAATGCATTGTTTTTATTGACATTGTTAACAACGTTAACACATGTTAATAAAGATGAACAAATCTCGTAAACAAATTGCTCTCATGAATAATTGTTTGTATAATTATTCATTCATAAGCGATAGCGCAACGCCAATACGTCTCGGGATTAAATCGCAATTTCAACCTTACTCCTTGCTCTGGGCAGGTCCCCATATCGATTGCGATCCAAGCCGAGGTTCGAACCTCCATCCGAGGGGCCCTTGGATCGTGTCGTGCCCCCCCTGTTAGTCGATTGTCCATCTTTTGTGAGCAGGGTGTTGCAGAGTGCAGCAGAGCGGACGGCGTCTTCTTGTCGTCGTCGTGCACCAGCTACGTTGTTCTCCCGAGTCCGTGGGTCTTCTGCCCGCGGATCTCTTCTGCCGAAGCTGTCAAAGCCGCCGGACTAACAGCAAACAACACGTCACAAAAAAAAGATTCAAAACGGTAGGTGCTACCATTTTACAAAAATTTGGAAGTCCACAGTTTCGCAAAGTCCAAGAAACTGAAATGGCGTCACAATTCCAACTTCAGTTCTTCTCTTGCGCGAACATAAGTTACAACAGGTCGTTGAACCCGGCCTTTTATTCGTTCTAATCGAATTAACATTGACCCTACTCCGTTACAGCATATTGCGTTACATGTAACGCAATATGCTGTAACGGATGAAAAGATGTTAAGCGTTAAGAATTCTTATTAATAAATACTCATACCGATATTCTTCAAGGGAAGAAAATAAAGGTGAGATTAATATAATTACAAATTTCTTATAAGTAGGTTTTAATTATGATATAAGAATGTACAAAATTCCTGTTTGGCCGGGAGTAACCAAACTGTTATTACTCTGTAAGAAGTGGAATTAAATGACTTAATAAACGAAAGAGAAAGAGGTCAATATCTAATGAATGAATCAAATAATTACTTAAGAAACGTTAGAGAAACTTTAACTGTGTATAATTATATAGAAAGCAGAAGTAAGACGATTCTGCAGTCCGACAGCAATTTAATTTATGCACAGCATTTAGCTGCCATCGGGATCGAATCTAACCTCCGTATGTTGCAGTTGCTTAAGCTTAACTTTCATGCAAATTCACTTAAGTTTACCACGCGTTCCCTTCTGGACGGAATTCCCGATCGCTAGCAGATGGGTTAATAGGATAAAACAAACGAAACTCGATTTCCCAGCGCCTTTCTCACTTAGTCCTGTTGGCTGTGCAACGTTAGTAGTTGCGAGCATCTTTTTATCTAAGAATTGGTGGCGGAGAGACTGAGATGCTAAGAATTTTCCTCGTCCGGATTGCTTACCATGAACTATGATAGCTCAAATTACTGAATTTTGACGAGCTCAAGGAAAACGTGAAACGTATTTTCTTTCTGTGCCTGGAGTAAAATCAGAACGGAGTTCATAATTTATAAAATGCAGTAAGCTGAAGGCTAGAAGATGTTTAAAAGAATGTGATTTACGTGTTAAAGCGAAAGCAACCAAATGTATAATTAAGTAAAGTGAAGTAACAGCCTACCACAACCTATGCATGTCCCACAGCTGGGCAAAGGTCTCCTATGTACAGAGGGTATCAGGGCATAGTCCACCACGCGGCTCCACTGCGAATTAGCGGACTTGACATACCATCGAATTTTTTTTTGTTATTATTTCGAAAATATGCAGGTCTCCTCATGTTTTCCTTCACCGCTGAGCACGTGACATGTCAGCAATTAAAATTAACGATTTCCTTGGTGCCGGCACCGGGGATCAAACTCAGGTTGCTCGAATATATTGAAGTAAAGGCGACCGCCCTGGAACGTGGCTGTTTTGTGTGTATAACTAATTGATTATTTGTGTTAACACTTTGTGTGGGTACAGTGTTAACTAGCGAAACCCCCTGATGGATTTTAGCAACCTATATTTCTTACGTGATCTATTATTATAAACGTTCTTTTATTTTAGAAAAGCATGTCTGCGTGTCCCACGAGGTCTATGTTCGATGAAAGTATATTAAACAAAAAAGTGATTAAATATAACACTGAAAGTTAAAATAAAGAAAGTATGCGATTTGCTTACCTTCTTATTATTATATTTCTAATTCAGCGTAGAAAGTTGGTAAGAGGGTCGGTAGGAGGTGGTAAATTCCCTAAGTACATTTACGAGTACTTAAGCGATGCATACACTCTACGTGTTTGTCGATCGCACGTCGATGTGTACATAGTTTCGGTGATTAAGGAAAATTGCAGGAGCACGCACACGCACCAGGTGTGCCATTATATTGAGATTGTCACAGAGTCGTTCCTTCATTACTTGACGCTCGCAAACTGCTGAGGGTAGTAACTAAAAGCGGGATATTATGAAATGATCTCTTTTTTTAGTAAACATTGATAATGAGTTCGAACTGTATTTCGTTGAGTTTATTTAATATATTTTAAAGTATTTCAAATTATATTTTTTTTCCTTTGCTTGTGTAGGTAGATATATATGTAGGTGTGTAGGTAGGTATTAATATTAACAGCCTTGAGGTAAATGACCTCGGTGCGAGTGCTTTAGACATGAGGGGGTGAAATCCACTTTCGTAAACTCCTGATAAAAGCAAGCTTAGTGGAAAATTATTTAACAGGATACCTCGTGTGAAAGTTGAGTGTTGCTGAACGTACGTACTTAAGGCAAGGTTTATGGAAAATGGTGATCTATTTAAATGTTAATAGCTTAGCTGCAAAGGGAATCGAATCCGGGTCTTTGTAGCAATCAGCCGTTTAGGTTAGCGGTTAAAGCGCCTGGGCGCGATTCCGGAAGACGCGAGTTCGATTCTCGCGGCGGTGAAGAACTTTTAGTCCATTTTTCTACAAATCTTAACGTTTGTCTAATGTGTTTGTGGTGAGATACTTAGCCCACCTTTTCACGTGAAAACGTTATAACTCTACTTCACGCCGGTTTCCTGAGGCCGTGGCACTTCCACGAACTCAGCCCATTCGTGCAACAGCCGTAGCTGCTACTTGCTTTAACTACATTCAAAATAACGAGACAAATTAATCAAATCTGTAAGTGCATATTGTCTTAATTCATTTGTAAAAAGCCAAAGAAAGAGTGGAATAATTAGAAAATTCTTTAAGCGCTAAAAACGACTAGCAAATGCACTCCATTGATGTAGCTGATGAAGGGATCTTCAAAATTGTGTTAAAGGTAGTTCAGATTTTGTAGTTCAAATTTTAGAACTTAACGGTGGTAGAGCCACGCAGCAGCCTCGGCTGCTGCACGAATGGGCAGGCCCGCCCGGGTAAGTATCACGACCTCACAGAAGACCAGCGTAAAGTGGAAGTATGACAAATACTTTCGCGTTTCGTCTGGTGAGTGAGGTAGCCGGAGTCCAATTTTCAAAAGGTTGTCAACGCATCTGTAACCCTCGGGTGTAGCAGATGTCCATGGGCGGCGGTATTCACTCACCATCAGGTAAACTGTCTACTCGTTTGGCAACTTTTCACATAAAAAAAATATTCAGTTCTTAGTTTGCTAATCTGAAATCTTGCTGAAAAGTTTTTTGCACATATAAAGTAAGGGGAAAAATTAGGCCCACAAAGTCCTTGATCTTTAAGATTAGTCTTGTATAGGACCATATAGTGAAAATTAAGTAATGGTTACAATAGCCATCAATTTCTTCTTGGTCGTCGGCTTGTAAATGCTTTCAGTATTATGTCCTATTTATGCATGGGGAAAGGAAAAACGCATTATATGAAACAAAACTATATTATTTGAGCCCATCACACATATCACACCATTTCATCACAACAATAATTTTTTGCGTCAAATCATTAATTTGACGCAAAAAATAAGTCTATTTGTACACAACCCAATGCCTCCCCAGTCTACAGAATTAATATTTCTCGTCACCTAATGAATATTCTATTTGGTACTGGCCTCTGTCGTTATCAGAGAGGAGCTATAAATAATCACGCTAAATCTAAATTAAACATTAACTAGATTATTGTTTAATAAATAAGATCAATAATAACGATGGACACTTATAAAATATTGTAGAAAGCGAGTTCGAGATTTCTGTCTTTCCTGACGATTGTTTTTCTAAACCTGTACTGAGCGCTGGCTCTCCACCATACTGGTGACGACGTTCTGCGTCTGTTTGCCCGTCTCCATGCTCTTCTCGCTGATTATCCTGTTTATTATGTTCGCGCAGTCCTTGTTCTCGATGATGCTCACGTGGTTTCCTTCCAGATGGTGCACGGTCACCTGGCCCTCGGTATACTTGTCCAGGCCGTAGTTGTCGTCGCATGTGAGGAACGGCATCGGGTCTTTCGGCCGCAGCAGCACGATCGGCGATTGGAGCTTCCTCTCAATCGGCTTGAGGTCCAGGACGATCTTGAGCCGGTCGTAGCTGGCGGCCGACATCGAGCTGATGAACTGGTCCGAGTACTTTTCCTGCACCGGCGTCAGCTTCAGCGCGTACTTGATCCGCTCAGCGTACGACTCGATTCCGCTGAGTTTCTCTATAAGGGTCTTGGTGATGTCGTTGTTTGGAGAGATGACATCGATGACGTGGCAGATAAGGCTGTTCTGCAGCCGCACGTCATTCTTTGTGTCGATGGTGTTGGTGAGCAGGCTGTACAGGAATTCTGGCGATCCGTCGATGCAAAATACAACGCCTTTGTGACCTGAGAGCAGTGAACAAATGTTTTTGTGAGAAGGAGGCAAACGAGCTGGCGGTTCACCTGATGTTAAGTGATCGACTCATTGTTACTTAGGACTTTCTAACTATATACTTAATCAATACATTAGAAAATACGCTATCACGAATGTTTTCTAACTCGAAAAAGATCACGCTGTGTAAGAAGTGAGTCCTATTGTAAAATAGGTGTACTGAATACAACAACGAATAGTAACTATCGTATCATTTTCCTTATTAAAATTAGCTTATGTAAAGGATAACGCTGGTTAATTTACCTTCATTTTCTAATACAGATGCCAACTTCAGAAGAGGTAAGGTACCGAAACTGTAGCCGAGTAGAATGAAATTCGCTCCGGGGATCAATCGGCTCTTAACCGTCTAAAAAATTACACGTTATATTAAAAAAGTTTCAAAGCGCGCGAAGGCACATCAAAAGATTTGTGAGGTCATACTTTTTAGCTAAACGGGAGAAATTGAGCTCTGTAAATCTAACATGGGGGTGTTGTAGACACTTTATTATTTAAAATTATTGTTTTGTTTCGCAGTATCAACACTGAATGATATTTTGGAAGATTTTCTCATATTGTTTCCTTTTTACCAAGCAAATTGGTCAATTGATATATTGTAAGGTTGTTTTATTAAAAACCTTATTAAACATTTTATAATCTGGGGCATGCAGTGGTTTAATGCAATTGGAAATTTTCACTTTATAGGTAGATATTATTTATTAAGGAGTTTGTATAATTGTCTACCTAATTGGGACTCTATAATAAAGTAAAATCAGTAAAAGTTCAAATTGAGCTGGCTCATCTATTATTCTCTTATCTAACCTGTCTAATATTATTAAAATTATAGATGATTTATTTTAAATTCAAAATATTAATCATTTGCCTGCGACAGCCCACTGCTGTACAAAGCTGTCTCCGAACACACGCCTCTATACCTTTAGCTTAAGGCCGTTTGTATCAACTAGGCAGACACAGTTTGCTCTAGAAACTGTAATGATAAATTCAAAAATTAAATTCAAAACTGGCCAGCACTTGACTGCCATCCAACCCAATGGTAAGTGGCGATGCCAACTTTGGTGAAATTGTGTAATAACAAATAATTACCTTGTGTAATCTGTCCACCATAAGATCTAAGGTGTCGTTTCTGTACCCTAAGCCCAGCTGTAGGGCGCATATTTTGATCTTCAATCTTCGGCATAGTGGCTCCATACCAGCGGCGCATCCTTCCAAGCCTGGCAGCATGAACATCACGGGCTCCGATGCGTCGATAGGCACATCACTCTGTTGTCAAATTTTGGAAAAAATAAGGCCGTAATTATCCAAGAACGCCATCGTTTTGCTTTTTTTATGTGAGAAAGCGGCAACCGAGTTGATGGTTCACCTGATGTTAAGTGATAACCACCGCCCATGGACATTTGCAAAACCCTTAGGGTTGCCAATGCATTGCCACCGTTAAATAAATTGCTACCTCACTCACCAGACGAAACGCTCACTAACACTTCTACTTTACGCCGGTCTTCTGTGAGGTCGTTCTTTCCCGGACGGACCTGCCCATTCGTGCAACAGCGAACACTGTTGCGTGGGTCCACCACAGTTACCGCTAATATGCGTTTCATGTTTTTATCGAAAATCTATCTTTTTTAGCACTTTAATAATGATGGTGTGATTGCTGCGCCGGTTAGTAAGTACAATTTATATTGACTTACATCAACGCCCTCGCCGACCATTGTGGACATGTATATGAAAGGCTCGGACGCCAGTTTCTCGTCACCGAAGTTCTTCATTAGGGTTCTCAGACCGGTGGAGCCATCAACTTGAATGGGTCGCGTAGCGGAAGTCGAGGCGGCTGCTTCCCTCTGGGCCGTCAGTTCGACTAATCTGTTTTGTAAAACATAAATGTATATGTAATAAATATATAAAGTATTGGCTTCGGCGTCGGGGGTCGTGGGTTCGATTCCCACACGGGACAACTATTTGTGCGACCCACAGATAGTTGTTTCGCATCTGGGTGTTTGTCCTCGTGCAATTTATGTTTGTAAAACGTCCTTACAACACAGGATAATGTTATCCTAAAGTGAGGGCAATGTTTTAAAAAAAAAAAACATGTAGAATATGTAAGACCGCAAAGTATAATTTCGTTTAAAAAGCAATTGGACATTTAAATTTTGCGTGACGTAGTCATAACGATGAACAAATTGATGAATAACTATTTATTCTTTTATCCGTGAACAGATCAGATTTCCTTACTTCGGATCTCATAATGTCGATGCCACCAGAAAGGGATTTTGATATCAGGGAACACATTTGATTGGCGTACTAAAGATTAAAATGTATGAAGATTCTTATGTAGATTTTAAGTAATGGATAAATCCGTACCGTTAGCTTTCCAAATGTCTCCTGACAATGAAGCAGACATGAGTCTGAGTCTTAGTTTCGTTTGAATTATACATTTCCATGTGAAAATTTATAATTCAATAGCAGCATGCTCATTAAGTAGCTCGGTACTGAAAGTGTCTGTGTGGCCCAAAGCCGATAAAAAATTGCCGGCAACGCATGTGCAAGCCCTCCGGTTGCAGGTGTTTATGGGCGGCGGTGATCACTTTTCATCAGATGAGTCCCCTCCTCCCTTTTTCTCCTAAAAAAACTACCTGGCAAACGTAAGCGTCCTGATGTCCTGCGCTGTGAGGAAGATCTCGAATTCCCTTTCAAGGGTCTGCTTAATCTCCACGGCCATCATGCTGTCCATACCCAACTCTGCCAGCGATACTTGCTGCGATACCGTTTTGAGGTCCTTAATACCTGTTATAAATAAGTTTTGATTTAAATTGCTTAAACTAAATTAGCACTCTGTTCAAACTACGACATTTATATTCCTAAATTTACTCTTAGTGGAAAACATAAAACTCGCCATTTTCACTTTTGTCCTTTTGCACACGCTGGTAAATTAAACGGTGGCAGGGAAAAAGAGTGGTTTAAATCAATATCGGATAAATTTTATGGAGAGAGCTATGTTCGGAGTTTTTTTGCGCGACAAAATCTGGAACGACGAAATTCGCCGAAGAACCGGAATCACCTACATAGCAGTCCGGATCTGCAAGTTGAAGTGGCAGTGGGCAGGCCACATCGCTCGAAGAACTGATGGTCGATGCGGAGTAAAGGTTCGCGAGTGGTGACCACGAACCGGAAGACGTAGCGTTTGAAGGCCTCCCTCTAGGACCGACGACATCATAAGAGTCGCGGACAACCAGTGTATGCAAATGGAAAAGTGTCGTTCGTTGTGGCGTTCCAAGGTGGAGGCCTATGTTCAACAGGAGTATTTCAGTGGACGTCTTGCGGCTGATGATGATGATGATGATGATGGATAAATTTGCTAAGAAAATATCAAGCAATAACTAAAATATTGTAACGTCTCATTCCTACCCATGATCTGTGCAACGGCGTCGACAATGTTCCCACAGCCAGTTCCTCCAGCTTTCTTCTCGGCGACGACAATCGACGATACTATGACGGCGTCTTGCTTCAAGAACTTATCTAATGCATGGAGACATGACGATATCCTTTGTTGTAAGGTTCCACCAATTTCGAGCTGAACATCATCATCTTGCATGTCGGCGACGAGGCCCACCTTGTGAAATAAATAGTTTGATTGTTTTTTATTACTTCACGCCTAGTACACCTGTAGTTTTGTTATATAAGGATAAAAATTTTATATGTCGAATTCCAGAACTAATAAAGCTTCTGTTTTAATCGCGAATATTATTCCGAATCATTGGAAAAACTCACGTCTCCTACAGCTCCCCACTGTACTGCCAGTGCTGGTAGCCCCAGTTTCTTTCTCAATTCACATATCCTTTCCATCACCGAGTTCGAGAAACCGTAGTTGGTTTGACCGGCATTACCTCGACCGCACGATACAGACGAGAATATAACGAAGTTCCTGCATCAAAACGTTTATATACATGAGCATTTTCATGGGAAATGAAATGTACATTCAGATGCTATAGCAATGCATGCTTACTTCAACCCTGGGCAAAGCTTCCGTGACAGTTTGTCTAAGTTCATCGTAGCGAGGGCCTTCGGGGCGAATGAAGTTCTAAAAGTCTCAGGAGTCTGGTTCTGGAAGATGGAGTCCTTGAGAATGACGGCCAGATTAAAGATCGCTTCCACGGGTCCCATAGAATTGGCCATCTTGAGCATTTCTTCGCAGCCCGACTCTGTGACTATGTCGTGTGTGGAAATTCTCACGTTGGCTCCATAGGCGGCCCACGCTCTGAAACATTTAACAGTCATGAGTATTTCCATTCCAATTGCTTCGTACTATGGTGAAAATGTTTATGAACATACCTTAGCCGTGACGACTGATAGCCGTTGGAGATTCCCCTGCGTGATGTTAATAAGACTTTTCGGGCCCCTCTCAAGATGAGCCAATCAGCCAACTCGAGACCGAAGCCTCCAAGACCTCCCACAACGATGTACACAAAGTCTTCGTGACACATATACCTGTGAAATTAATTTGCTTGTTATATCACAATGACTTAAGGCAGTGGGGAAATATTAAAAAAAAACTTAGTATAGTAGTCGAACTTACCATGACTAGTACTACACTACTTATGATGTAGTTGATCTTACCTTGGCATGGCGTCGACTGGAAAAGAGACAGGCCTAACTGGGCGGTTGGCGCGTTCTTCGTCACGGATTTTTATAATCACCTAGAAAAGAGTAACATTATTGGTTATTATTAACTTCATTCGTAATTGTTTTTGAAGTAAAACTTCTTTAGGCGCGACTAGGGAGTAACTCAGATTTTTTTCTGGCGGAAGTAACGCTTTTTCTGACGGAAGTAACGCTATTTCTGACGGAAGTAACGCTTACTATAGTCTGTGTAGTTTCTGCTATTTAAAAATAATAATTTGGATTGGTCGTAAGTATATGTCATATACTCCACGCTTCTTGACTTATACGCCAGCTAGTGGCAAATATCATAATCAATTAGCATTATTTATTTCCAAATTTTCAAACGGATCAATTGTGAATAGCAAAGTGAATAAAAATTCAACAATTTAAAAAAAGTTTTTTTAAAAATCTCTAAATATACTTGTTTAATTATTACTTTTAAAATAAGTAAATTAATAATAAGTTTTCTGACGATTGCGACATTCTATAATATTCAATAACAAGGTTACATTGACATGTGCTGATCCAACTCTCAATCATTGAAGTAAAACTTCAATCAATGAATAAATTAATATTAATATAACATTTGAATAATCTTTGTAAAGCACATGAATAATAAATATAATTAAATTATAATATGATATTTATTATTTAAGTTAATATTTAATCATTTCAGTGATATATGCCGTCAACGCCAAAAAACTTTTTTACTTCAATCGCGCGTAAAGGTTACACGCACACACTTTTTTAAATTGAGCGTACGTTTGCTCTCACAGTTAGATCACATTGTACACGATTATGTAAAATTTGCAGTCTTCACTAGGAAGAATCTCGGAACACTTGGTTCAGTGGAATCACTCAGATACATCATTAACAAACCGGCCAAGTGCGAGTTGGACTCGCGCACGAACGGTTTCGTACCATTATCTACGGCAAATAACGGCAAAGTGAAGTTTAGTACTTTTTGTTATAGTGGCAACAGAATTACGTCATCTGTCTAAATCCCAACCGTCTAACTATCATGGTTCATGAGATACGGCCTGGTGACAGACGGGGACAGACTGACAGACTCTTTGGATGGAGAACCCTAAAAAGACTTATTACGGTTCATCGATAGAATACTATGTAACAGTTCTCACCTTTCCAATGTGTTTACCGGCTGCCATGTACCTGAAGGCTGTTTCTACTTGGTTTTTCTCAAAGATGCAGTACGTAAGTGGGCGCACTGCACCACTCTCGATGCCGGTAAGCAGCAGATCTTGCAGCCTCTGAATGTTATCAATTCAAAGTCAAAATATCTTTATTCTATTTAGGTTAATTTAAGCAATTATTTAACGTCAAAAACTACCACCGGTTCACTAAGCCTAAAACTAGACCTGTCCAGAGAAGACCCAGCAAGAAACTATGCGATCTTTCTTTCTTCTAAGTATACTATTAGCAGTTTATACTTAAATACTTTTAGGACTATTATTTGGTCAATAATGCGTCGTACTGTTATTACAATCGTCTATTTTAAACTGTCACCTTTCCTGTCCAATGCATTCCACGGTATTTATATATTAAATGTCGTTAAAGCCTTAGATAGGTCGTTTTATGTTTAATGTTTGAAAGTCGACTTAGGTATATTATATAGGAACCTTCAAGAAGAGAGCATACTCTTTCCTAAAAGGTCGGCAACTCATTTGTAAGCCCTCGGGTGTTGCAGGTGTTCATGGGTGGCGGTAATCACTTACAATCAGGCGAGCCTCCTGCACCTTTTCTCCATAAAAAAGAATTATATTTCATTTTCACTTAGCGTTATCATTGTCAAGCAACTTACCTTTCTGAACGCGAAGCTCTGGTCGAAGATGTAATCCAACATGATGCCGTGGAACGATGTCTCCTTCAGGAAGTAGTACATCCCGATTGGTGTGTTGTTGCTAATGTCGAATTTGCCGATTTCCAAGAAACGGCCGCGGTAGCCGAGACAGCGCACAGATGCCTGAGGAAAGGTTGATTCAATGAATGTTTAGCACGTGTTCAAACAAAAGTCAAGGACATAAAAATGAGGAAAAATATTGAATGACATGAAATTTAACAATCCTTAACCAAAATGCGTCTCATGAAGAAATATATCAACCTATTACCTTCAGTGTGGAGATAGTTATAAAGTAAGACTGTTCTTTAGTATGACTGATTGATCCAGTGATCTTCTGGGTTGCTATGCTAATTTAGTAGCGAGAAAAAAATATTGATACTATTATTCTATAAACGAATAGTTCTTCTTTCTATTGTCTTTGGCTCACACGAAGATTCGAATATTGTCCTTTTGTTTTACTTTCCTCTATCAGCCGTCATCTTGATACCGTGTAAGTCTTTGAAAGGGGTTAGCCTTTTACAGACTTATAATAATTCTTCACATAGTCCATCCATATCTTTCTCGTTCTTCCTATAGCCTTAACATTCTTCAATCACATTCATAGTTAGTACTTTTCTAGTCGCATGAAGAATATTTGTGACGTTTGATTACGAACTGTAGTCAAATTAATTTAAAGAAATGCAATAGGGATTATAAAGTAAAATCATACCTGTAACTTCTCATCTGACAGTGAATTGAGCACCAGATCTACGCCTTTTCCATTAGTTTCACGTCTGATCATATCTTCAAACGAGGCGTCACGTGAATTACCAATATGGCTATCTGTTACAACAGAAAAATTATCAAATAATTTATGCGCATGCAGTAAAATACTAGTATAAAAGTAACATGATAATTCAAAAACCAAAATCAAAAATATATTTATTCACATAGACGCTTACGCGTTCTTATGAAATGTCAAAAATTTTACATAAAAATTAATACGTTCGTAAGTTACCATACGTAATTCGTTCCTTATAAATTAAGCGGTTCAACATTAAATCATTCATATTTTGCTTCAAATAATAAAGCGTATATAATATCTCGGTGAGTTTAAATAACATTTATGAATAAAATCCGTAAAACATGCGTTATTAAGCTACGCAATAAAATACAACATATTTATTCATTCAGATCTTTAAAATCCGTACGTATAAACAAGTAGATGTGACGATCATAAAATGTTACGAATACTAATGTTACGTTACATGCCTTTGAGTTGTGGGAACAGCTTCTTGATGAATGCTCTCTTCTCCGGCGTACCGACTGTTGTGAACACCTCGCAGCCATAATGCAGGGCTACATTGATGGCAGCTTGTCCCACACCTCCGGAACCAGCGTGAATCAGAATCGATTCGCCCTTTTGCATGTGTCCTACCATTATCTGTAAGAATGTTTTGTTTTTAATTTTATACAGTTAATTAAAATCATTTGGCCTATTCTTTAAATTTTTACAGAAATTATCTTCTCATATCTTCTATTTGTAAATACCTGCCTTAAGTATGGTCGTTAGATTAAATTTATAAGCGCTTTGATATCAATTTAAGGCTTAATTTGCTTTTGGTGAAAGTTATTTTCTCATTAAATAGTTACCGTGTGTAAGTTTGCACATGAGTTTTTGTGCTAAAAGAATTTCGGATTTGATAAAATAGGGTGTTCGCAGTGGGGAATAATCTGTTAGATTGGAATATGTTTTATGTGTACAAACCATTGCATAATAAACTGTGCCGTAAGCCACGGGAACACTGGCGGCTTCCTCGAAAGTCCATTCATCAGGGATACCCCACATGAGAGCTCTGTCTCCTTCGACTACGTTGCCCATACCGCTGTTGCGTACCATAGCCATTACACGGGATCCACTAAAAGGAGTTTTTCATATTTGAACTCACAATTATAAATATTGGAAACAATAGCATTCTACGAGTACTATGCGAGTTCATAGAGATTATCGAGGTCATTGAAATTATGTGAAATAAACATGGGTAATAGAAACTTAAATATTCGTAATTCTTTTTGTAGATGAATTGTTTAAAAATAAAATTAAGTTATCACTAAAAATAAAATTAATCATAGCTCTGTAATGAATGTTCGCTTGACGTCAGCGCTAAAGAGTGACAGATCTGTTTACACAATACCTTGAAGAATATAAATAAGTATTCTGATATGCTGGTAGGCTTACTTTGGTGTTCTGCCAACGACTTCGAATCCTTGCACACACTCCTGGGCCAATCGACCTCGCGCCACAGCGTCTACTGTCACGCGACCAGTTGCCGTCATTACGTCACGGAAGTTCATAGCTGAGCAGTATACCTAAATATTTTAAGAAGTCAATAAGAATAGTTCAATAGTCAATATGATGACTCCGTGGCGCAGTTGCCAAGGTTTCCGGCGTCATGGTAGATGGGGTCGATTCCCACACGGGACAACTATTTGTGTGACGAACAGATAGTTGTTTCGCATCTGGGTGTTTGTCTGCGTGAAATTTATGTTTGTAAAATGTCTTTACAACATAGGATAACATTATCCTAAAGTAATCCTAAAATACATAAAAAAAGTTCATTATTAAACTCTGGTAAAATATTACAATAATTTTGATGAACGTAAATAATAAATTTTGCATTAATTTTTCCAGATCCTTACATGGATAAGTATTTTCTCAGGATCCTTGAAGGTTGTATTTTCTCTGATGGGGCCTTCCATCCACCTGAGCGATGAGAGGTCACCGATTGTAGTGGTGTTGACAAAGGCGTGATTGGCTCGAACTACTTCGAGATCTCCCAGCAGTAAATGACGGTATGTTCCCCATTGGCCCTAAAGAGACATTTGAAGAACGAAAGTTGATCAGACACTAGGACTACATAAGATGTTTATGATGCTTATGATATACTTACTTAATATTATAAACGCGAAAGTTTGTATGTATGAATGAACGTTTGTTACTCTTTCACGCAAATACTACTGAATGATTCTAATGAAACTTTACAATACAATAATATAGCCTATACATCAGAATAATACATAGGCGATAATTTATATACATATATTATGTGCATCTGTCATTCTGTTTGAATGTTATGTCTTCAGCCTATTCTACGCAGACGTAGTCACGAGAAGTAGCTAGTTTTATATAAGAAGCACTTACGTCTTGGTAAACATTAATCGCAAGATCCTTATCCAATTGTTCCTCATAAAACTCTAGATCGGGGTTGAAAGCCGGTGCGGATGGATCGGAAATCAGGAGTCCATTTACGATCTCGCCACCAGGCTCCTTTCTGAGGCAATTGACTAGACCCAAGAGACCGTTAATTAGTTCATTTTGGCTATAGAGGACAATTTTCTGGCCCTCCTTAAGTTCCTCCTTGACCTTGTCGATCCAGGTGAAAGTTTGATCGGCCGTTACGACTTTAATGAACTTAGCAGGCTTAGCACCGATCCTCTTCCTGAACATGACTATAAACTCCGCACCGGTGTCTTGCACGGTTACAATGTCAAATTTATCCGCGTAGTTTTTGGGATTGGGCCGAACTTTTTCACGGCTCATTATGAAACATTTGTCTTTCAACGTAGAAACGGCTTGTTGGAGAACCTGCAAAAGTGAATATTTGTTTTTATTAAGAAAATATTCAGCTGTTTTGCCTATTATCCTAATCTGTTTATTTACGAGTATAGCTTGTACGTACTTCTGGTCTTTGCAAAAGATTGGCTCCAACGAAGATTACGGTGTTACTTTCTCCTGTCAATTTCTTATTCTCGACCGTGATATACGCAGGCATTTCTATTGCTTCTTCGGATATTATTAGAAGTTCAGCTTGTACAAGGGGAAGATCACCAAGTACATCAGCTACCGTCTCCATGACGGGGGTAAAGCCACAAGCTTTGTATTCTTCATCCACTATTTCGATGCTCTTGACTTTGTATGTTTGTAAATTTTCCAAGATCAACTGGATATTGGCTCGGAGTACGTCTCCAATCTATATTTTAATAAAAACTGTTGTGATTAATTTTATAAATGTCTTAATGAATCAAATCAGTGAATGCTTTTTTTTATTAATATATGTTTTGTATAAACTTCACTTACCTCCATTTTGTTCGTTCCAAAGTTTGGGATAAATTCATTTTTCTCTAGCACGGGGATACCCAAAGGTAATTTCTTGGAGATAGGCGTCGCATGTAAACCGCGAATTTCAACACCACCAGCCCTGTTTTACAAGCAAGTGTTAGTAAAGTATCAAAGGTAAACACTATTGACTCATAAATTTTAACATTTACCTAATAACATCGACATGTGGATACACGCGAATTTCGAACGACTGCCTAGTGGAATCTGGGTTCATTTTGGAGATTGCGTCATAGTGCATATTTGCGTCAATGCAGAGTTTCTCAATTCTGGTGGGGACGAATAGACCGCGTGTGTCCTGCCCAATAATCTTGAGTTGAAGCATGCAATCCATAAAGGTCACCCAATTGTTAACCCAGGCAAGACGGCCACGGGTGCCCTCAATATTGCATCCGATGACACCACGGAACAGGCCGCTGTGAATCAAAAATTATAGGTGAACGTTTTATTTGATGACGCTTGGTTTGTCTTTTTTCGTAATATTTTAAATACTTTTTAAAAGTGAACAGCATGTTTTCTCTTTCTCATTTTTTGTTGGTTCCGTAAATATGTGTGATATCACAATTTTATTTACAACAGACATGAGGCTTATACGCTAATAACGCTCTTACATATCGATATGCTGCACGTGCCGTTGGAGTTGAAGTAATATTATATTATGTTTTATGAAAACACTTTCTTATGCTTCTTTCCCGCGTAACGAGGAGTAAATAAACTCTTAGGAGATGAATTTTCTAAATCATAGTTCCATATCGATCAGTTTCTTTCAAGAGAGGTTTAATATTTGAAACTCAGTTACATACTGACGTGGTAGGCCTCGCAACAGAACCCTCTGTTGCACGAATGGGCAGGCCCGTCCGGGGTGGTACCACGGCCTCACAGAAGACCGGCGTAAAGTGGAGGCTTTATGCTTCTGCGTTTCGTCTGGTGAGTGAGGTTGCCGGATGCCCACTTCCCCCCCCCCCCCCCCTTCTTCTATAACATGCTAGCGGTATCGGAAAAAACCTACCCCAGGGGGGTACCAGTCCCAGTGGTTCTGGAGAATCCCCCCCTGGGCGGCTGCGACCAGATGACTATTTGCTTTCTGAGCGTAGGCGCTCAGGCTGCCCACGTATTCTGGGGGGGGGGGGGGGGGCAAATACCGCTCCCAACTCCCATTGCTCGAGGCAAACGTAGCAGGCTCACTTCGGCAACCCCAACTAGTGTACGTCAGAGAGGATATCTGTTCTCGTCGTCTCGGCAGTCTTGGAGGACGGGACCTATCCATCCTCTGGCTACGCGTAGACTGCGACGACCATCCGCGTATCTACGCGTGCCTATATAGGTTCCATAGCGGTAATGCCGAAACTGACCAACTCATTGAGCACATCCAAATGGCTACAGACTCCGTGCTGCAGCAGATCCCATCCGCAGAGATAGTGATTCTAGGCGACTTTAACGCCCATCACGCCGAATGACTCAGTTCACGCACCACCGATCATGCGGGGAGATCTGTTCACAACTTCGCAATAGCTTATGATCTGACACAACTGGTCACCTCGCCAACGCGAATCCCAGATGTGGAGGATCATACACCTTCCCTGTTGGACGTTCTGCTGACCTCGCATCCGGACGGCTACCTGGTTTCCGTCGATCCTCCTCTTGGTTCGTCGGGCCACTGTCTTGTCAGGAGTACAGTGCCCGTTGCGCGCTCTACACGGCCTCGCTGCGCAGGCTGCCGCCGCGTATGGCACTATAGGTCAGCAGATTGGGACGGGATGCGGTCATTCTTTGCGTCCTACCCATGGGGGCAAATTTGCTTCTCGTTGGATGATCCAGACGCCGTTGCTGACTCTGTCACCGATGTGGTGCTTCAGGGTATGGAAATGTTTATTCCATTTTCTGCAATACCCATCGGTGGCAAATCCCAGCCTTGGTTTGTTTGGTCGTTCCTGCAAGACGGCATTACGCCGAAAGTGGGAATGCTACCGAGCCTGGGCTGAAGCTTCGGCGTCTAGTGATGTAAAGACCAGCGCATTAAAAAAGGAGTATAACTCTGCTTCTAGGTCCTTCAAAAGCGTTATTGCTAAAGCGAAGTTGGAGCACATTAGCAGAATTGGCGAGAGATTGGCGCGTCTCCCATCGGGAACACGTGCGTTTTGGTTTCTCTCGCCAAAGCTGTCTTAGGGAATTTCTGTAAGCCATCTTTTCCACCCCTGCACACGGAGGATGATTCGTTGGCCCATGCCGCGAAGGAGAAAGCCGATCTTCTGGGCTCTCTCTTTGCGTCCAACTCGACTTTGGATGACCGAGGAAACTCACCACCATCAATCCCCCAGTGCGACGTTACGATGCCGGAGGTAAAATTCCGGCAAAGTGCAGTTCGCAAAGCACTTCTTTCCTTGGACATTCACAAGTCGAGTGGGCCTGATGGCATCCCTCCGATCGTGTTACAGACATGTGCTCCAGAGTTGGCGCCGGTTTTAACGCGTCTCTTCCGGCACTCCTATACTTTAGGCGTAGTCCCGAAATCATGGAAGGTCGCGTTAGTGCACCCGATCCCTAAAAAAGGCAACCGCTCTGATCCGTCCAATTACAGGCCAATAGCCATCACCTCCTTGTTCTCCAAGATAATGGAGTCTGTTATCAACGGCCAGCTCCTGCGGTACCTAGAGGAGCACCGGCTGATTAGCGACCGCCAGTATGGATTTCGTCGGGGTCGCTCAGCCGGTGATCTTCTGGTCTACCTTACACATCGATGGGCAGAAGCAGTTGAGAGCAAGGGGGAGGCGCTTGCAGCCAGTCTGGACAAAGCGAAGGCCTTTGATCGGGTATGGCACAAAGCGCTTCTTTCGAAGCTGCCTTCCTATGGGCTTCCCGAGAAATTATGCAATTGGATCACCAACTTTTTGGCAGATCGGAGCATCAAGGTCGTCGTCGACGGTGCATGATCCGATCCTAAATTTGTCAATGCTGGTGTTCCACAAGGCTGCGTACTGTCTCCTACTCTGTTTCTTCTGCATATCAATGACATGTTGCAAATCAGCAACGTCCATTGTTATGCAGACAATAGCACTGTGGATGTCTCGTACACTGGCCGAGCTAACATTTCTCGGGAAAACGTCTACGAGTGTCGGAACAAGCTTGTGTCTGAGGGGTCGACTAAACCTAGTCCAATTCAACCCCAAAAAGACACAAGTTTGCGCGTTAACCGCTAAAAAGTCCCCATTTGTCGTGACTCCTCATTTCGAGAACACTCCCCTACCTGCCACAGCTAGTATCGGAATGCTTGGCGTCGAAATCTCGAGCAACGTCCAGTTCCGCGGTCAATTGGAAGGTAAGGCCAAATTGGCCTCAAAGAAGCTTGGCGTGCTCAGCAAGGCGAGACGGTACTTCACAGCTGCCCAACGCCTAAACCTGTATAAGGCGCAAATTCGGCCCCACATGGTGTACTGTTCTCACCTCTGGGCGGGAGCCCCCTATTACCAGCTTCTTCCATTTGACCGCATTCAACGTAGGGCGGCTAGGGTTATCGACGATCAAAGTCTTTCCGATCGGCTTGATCTTCTGGCTCTGCGTAGAGATGTTGGATCACTTTGCATCTTCTACCGCATTTATCACGGGGAGTGTTCTGAGGAATTGTTTGGATTGATCCCGGCGGCTGAATTCCACCATCGGACATCGTGCTAGAACCAAAAATTTCATCCACACCACCTCGATGTCCAACGTTCCACAACAGCGCGATTTTTAAGGCATTTCTTGCCTCGCACAACCACTCTGTGGAACCAACTGCCGCCGGCGGTCTTTCCGAACCGTTACGACCTGGGAACCTTCAAAAAGAGAGCGTACTCTTTCTTAAAAGGCCGGCAACGCATTTGTGAGCCCTCGGGTGTTGCAGGTGTTCATGGGCGGCGGTAATTATACTTACCATCAGGTGAGCCTCCTGCTCGTTTGCCCCTTTTCTCCATAAAAAAAAAAACATACCTGTACTGGTATCCTCGGAGACGTAACTCCTTGTAGAAGTCTTTCGTCAGCATGTGCTTAACGCTTGGTCCACTCGCTTCGGGCATCGCTGGAAGCACACGGTAATCGTTACCGACATTCCTCTTGGCGTAAATTCGACCGGTTACAATCGATGCTCCACTCTCGACAATCTGTAATAGGATTCATAATTTCGTTTAACGACAGATCGGTGACCGGTATTTTTTTAACTTATCCTTTTCAGACATTTTTAATTTATCAACTGTTTCTCACGGATATTGCAGAAGTTTATTTAATAAACATTTAGGGAACATTGCATCCTATCTTAACTTAAACTTAGATATCATGGATTACATGATATATGCCTACAAAACACTGTCTGATGCGGATGCAACAGTAGTAGTAATAGGGCACTGACTAATAAAAGAAGATATTATTATAATTTACCCCACTCTATTTTCAAAGCAATGTAAACTCACCTCAAAGTTACCGCTTCCCTTTTGAATCATGACTATGAATTCCAAATTGCCCTCTTTCGGTATGTTGGTAGCTCTTTGGAAACGAACGTTCTCAAATACGACCGAAACTTCTGTGTAGAGCTCACCCATCATCATGCCCAGGGTTTCCCAAACAAGCACGAGGTATCCAGTGGCGGGATACAAATTGCGTCCTGAAAATTTAAACGACCTTTTGACCAATACAATACCTTTAGAAACGTAACTTCCCACTCGATTCGATTCCTGTAGTGAGTATGAGTGAAGTTTTGGTGAAGTTAAATTATAGAACGCACGACAGTGAGGCTTTAGATTGTGGTTGAAACTCCCCATCAGGGCTGACAAACGTTCCACTATGTTTCATAAAGAGACTCTGCCGCATGGAAATTATTGATACAAGAGGCAGGCCTCTTGCACGAGTTTAACCGAAAACGAGGATAAATTCATCTCACGTCATTCAATATGGTTTGATTCAATTTTATTTGCTCTGGTATCCTTACGTTTGGTTAAGTTAAACTACAGAACGCACGACGGTGAGGCTTGAGATTGTGGAAAACCCCATCACAGGAACGTTTGTCAGCCCTTATTGGATTTCATAATTTACATACGACAGTCTCTTTATGAAAGGTAGAGGTACAATCTATGGTTTGCTTAAAAAGCGCTCGTGACATTCCGGATCCGGAACATATTTAAAAGTCAAATAGTATTACAACTCGCAGAAAATAGTTGGAATATTAAAAGTAAAGTAACAGCCTATATAAGTCCCTCTGCTGGGCAAGGGACCTTCTCCGTACAGGGGCATAGTCCACCACGCGACCCCACTGCGGATTGGCAGATTTCATGTACCTTCGAAATATTTTTATTATTTCTAAATATGCAGGTTTCCCCACGATGTTCCTTCACCTTTGAGCTCGTCAGCTCAACTCTTAAAATTAAGAATTTCATTGGTGCTTGCACGGAGGATCGAACACATTGGGTTGCTCGAGTACATTGAATTAAAAGCAACTGCCCGGGCAATGAGCTATTACGGCTTCATGGAATATTTGTTAAAACTATTTATAGAAATTTTCCCGTGATAAATTTTTGCATGTGACACTGCAAGTTATATTTATTCAAAGTTATGTAAGTATGTATTAAGTATGTGCTTTTATTAGTTCAAATTTAAGTAAGAAATGAAAATCCGGAGGAACTCACCGTCAACGACGTGACCAGCCATATATTCACTGTCTTCATCAACGATCGCCATTCTAACTGTTCTCTCGCCGGATTTCATTTTGTCTTGAGCCTTGTACGATGTGACGTACCTACGGTTACAGATAAATTTATAATTTTAATAATCTTTCGAGAATCACTGTTCTGACTGACTGTTCCTCTTCAGAAAAGGAGCACTTTTTTATCTATTTGACGGAGGCAGATTTTGGTCTAGAGTCTCATTGGTCTGAAGCTATGTTTATGAATGACAATCATAATAACAATATGTGGAATGATATTAATAGTAATTCAGTGTATTTATCCTTACTAATATTATAAAGGCGAAAGTTTGTATGTATGGATGGATGTTTGTTACTCTTTCACGCAAATACAACTGAATGGATTTTAATGAAACTTTACAATATATAGCTTAAATATAATATAGCTTATTATTACACTGGAATAAGACATAGGCTATAATTTATATACATTTTTTTATGTATATCTGTCTTTCCGTCTGAATGATACGCCTTCAGCCTATTGTACGCAGACATAGTCGCGGGCAGCAGCTAGTATTGTATATATCTCACCAGTCTTCACTGTGTTCCCATTCGACCAGATGGGACAACATCGGAGTCCCTTGAGATACAGGGAAAGGCACGTGAGGATAGATATTGGCCAGCTGAGGATTGAGACCCAACTCGTACAGGCTGAAAAAGTAGTTAAGCTCACATGATGCCACTCGTAGATACAAGTGATATATTAATATCAAAGTAGAGTATAGATTTCATATTTAGCATATAATGCATGAAAATATAATTTAGCATGAAAAAAAAAAAACTTGGTTAACAAGGAATAATGAGTTATATAAAAAAAAAATAAGTACTGAAAAGCATCAGTGCTTTATATTCATGTCTAAAATAGTATTCAATGTTCATATACATATAATTCAATGTAGACAAATAAAGAATTTTGTCGAGTACTCACTTTCCTATCGCATTGAAGAGGACTTGAACGTTGTCTTCGTGGTTCCTCTGCGTGAGCGCAATATTGGCGACTTCCTTCTTGAGGGAACGTCGCAGGATGGCCTGGAGTAGACCGTGCGGGGCGATCTCTATCGCGATGGCGTTAGGGTGGACGAGGCGCGCTGTTTCTTCGAACAGCACTGGACTCTGTTATAATTGACAAAGGCTATTATCAGTATCGAAGCAATGATTGGCAATCATTTCAACGTTGGAGGCAGTGTTCTCGGGGTGAAAAATTAAATGATTTTTGGTTTCTCCATTTTTTTTTAAGTTATCTATAATGAACTTTATTAAAACATGTAGAAAAAGTACGAAAAGATTGTCGTCGCTGTGGGAATCGAACCCACGTCTTCGGCATTCGCGGCCTGACGCTCTAGCCACTGAGCTAAACGGCCAAATCTTAAGTGCAGAGATTGGCACTATAAAAAACTTTAAAATTTATAATGAAGTTATTTATATTTATTTATTTGATTAAAAGAGCATCATCTCTACTGGCAGATCGTGTGACGTAAAAGCATGTTATGAACACGGAAATAATAACGCTCTAACGCGAATTATTATCTGTAGGTGATACAATTATTGTTTATAAGGGAAATTGAACCGACGAGTTCAACGCTACAATATGTCGCTGTGACCTAAGTGAATCTTAAAATTTTTGCACAGTAATTTTATCTTATAACTAACTAAATATAGTCCCGTACATGTCTAAGGATTGTTAAATACTCTATGTAGATTTTAAATCTAAGCTGTTCTTAACTTCAGGCGTGAGCTTACCAACAGATTGTTTGTGTGGTATTCGGCTGATGATAGTTGAGCCTTGCTGTCCTTCCACAGTGCTTGAGGAACTGACGTAGAAACCCAACGTTCAGAGCGCGGCTTGGGGTCGGTGATTACTTCCCTCAAATACTTAAGTAGTTTCGGACCTGGTAGCGATATAATAACATTAACTAATTTCACTGAAAACAAGGCTTTCTTTAAGTTTCAGTAAAATAACACAGAGAACGCAAAGAGAGTTTACTTTCATTAGAAGTTACATTAGTTATTAAGTTATAAAGCGTCTACTTATAAGATCTATCAAAATATAAGTGTCCTAACAGTTAGAAACACTTATTTATAATGAAAAAAAATGTCCTAATTAAATTTTAGATTACATATTACAAAACGACTGTTTATTTGTAAAGAATACATATTAAGAATAAAGTAATAAGTTTCATCTTATTACACCAAGGCTATTTTGAAGCCATGTATGTACGAGTATACCAGCTATCAGTACTTTCTTTAATGAACCAGTAGGATGAGTGAAAAACTAGCTAGTTTCTGAAAGAGAAATATTTGGATTGACTTCTTACCTGCGTCAGCGATATATTTCGAATGATAAGCGATATTAGAGCAGGGGACCTCTTTGGCAAATATCCCCTGGCCTGCCAATTTTGCCACGAACTCCTTCATGATGTCGGCCGGGCCTGATATGGTGCTTGAGTCGGGGCCGTTGTGGCAAGCGACCTCAATTTCTGGCGGACACATCCCTTTTACCTAGCGCAGAGATTGGAGAATAGCCTTAGACATCTTTCTAAAATGTTTTCGTTGGCTGTCTTTTTTATATGTATAATAAAAGGTAATTAAATCAAAAATAATTTGGTAAAAACAATATAATGCAAATAAAGTTGGGGTGGCAAGTAGGATATTTATTATTAAGTTATAAGAGGGTTTCCAAATAGCGTTTTTTGTACGAATGGACAGTCTTGCCAGTGGAAATATCACGGGCTCGTAGAAGACCGGGTGAAGTAGAAGTTAAGTTACATTTGCTTTTCACCAGATGATCGAGGTAACCAGAATTCAATCTTTTCAACACACCTGTAGGGCGTTGATACCGTTGCGTTATGCCATGGCCATAGGCGGCGGTATTCACTTAATGTCAGGTGAATCGCTTAGTCGTTGTTTGAAACCTCAAACTAAAATAAAAAGTCTGAAATATTAAAGGATATTTCAAACCCAATAACAATATCTTACGGCCGGTTTTAATATTCTATCTACAGATAGATTTGGTTACTAGCGATAGGTATTTGACATTAGTTCCATAATACTTACGTCAAAATTCTATCTCCAGTTAAAATCTATCTGTAGATAGTACATTGAAACCGGCCGTTAGTCGAAGAATAACTCAATTAACCTGATTGTAGCCTAGCCCAACTGCAGCCATTGATCCTTTGATGAACGGAGTCTCAAGAGATGCCAAGCCGCGGCAGTAAGCTGACAAGATCATCTGCTCTGCCGTGAAACAGCCGTCTGCGTACGCACAGCCCAATTCACCAACACTGTGACCTGCGGCAAATTCGTGTTGGTTAGAATCTATGGCGTAAAATTGTTTTAATGACTATTTTATTATGATTTTTTTTATTATCTTTATTTTTATGTGTTTTTATATACAAAGATACGTCAAGCCCATCGTAACTTACACAGGTCACAACAACTTACGAAATACGAATCCTTAAAATTATAGCTTTATATGAAACGGGAATTACTGTTTGTTGACTTGACCAAGGCCGCAAATTTAGAAGGTAGATTTGTGATTCTGAATAATTTAAATTCAAATGTATACCCAGATTCCGAACAATTATCTCACACAAAAATACTTAACCAGTATAGGCTCAAACTCACGACCACTGAAGCCAATAATTTACCACCCAGCATGTTGTGTCCTTCCGAATGTTGCTTAAAATTATCAGTGATTGATTTCAGTACAAACGTAATTTTTTTTATGTTTTTCTTTTTGTTCTTTAAATTATTCGTTCACACTCCCTCATAAATTGGATTCGAGGAATTTGAAATTATGAAATTCAATTTCTTTTCATGCCAATTCAATTTCTGCTCCTATCATTACTGCTAACAGATACATTTGTAGTGTAGTAAAGGTTAAACTGAATAAATGTGAAAATTCAGATATCTTTCTCAGTAATACCTATGATGTAGTCAGGTTTAATGCCGATGGTGTTCAGTACGTCGGTGAGGCCGATTTGGACCGCGGCAATGCCAACAAAGGAGTTGAGAATGTTCTCGCAAATGTTGGGATCGGGTTCAGTGATGATCTTTGTCAAGTTGATGCCCTTCGGTTCCAACGCTTTGTGGCATCTGAAATAAAACGTCAATTGCCTAATGAAGATAGCTTCAAAAACATAAGTAGAATTATCAGTGGAATTCAATTTAGGAGGTCTAATTTATTAAAACATTTCAATCACAAATATAAAATCGAAGACAAAAAAAACTATCGGCTAGTAATAAAAATTACCATACAATTTGTACGGAAATAAAGTTCAATGTGTTCAAAGCGACAGCGAACAGGCTTTCGCGTATTTAGTGTGTTATAACTTATGAGTTACTATTATCAAGCGTTTTAGTCAAACTGTGCGGTGTAACTGTTGTAATTAAATAAAATAATAGACAACTTGCTTTTCTATTGCGCCAGCAAAGACCGGTATCCTCATGAGTTGAGTCCCCATTCCGGCCCACTGAGAGCCCATTCCCGAATAGACAAACCAAACTGGGCGCCGTACTCCTGAGAAGTATTGTATGTCGCGGGCCAAAGACACACTCTTTGTTGGGGTCGAACCTAAATATAAAAAAACCCACACTGATTAATCCCCGACTCATTTGCAGCAACTAAATATAAGAAAAGTTGGTATATTGATTGAGTTTATTCTTATGGACTTGGAAAAAGCTCATTTTTTGGGGCTATAGATTAGGGCTCAGTAAGTTTACACTGGAGGGAACAGACGTATTGGTGATGCATTACTTTTGTTTTATCGACCACTCAAACTAGACATCTTAGAAAGGCGTTACTCACCCAAAAGCGAGTACCCGCGGACTACATGCCCGCCAATGTCGTCGTTATGAATGGCGTGCAACAGTCGAATCAGTTCGGCGTCTACAGTCCTCGACTCCAGATCGTCCAGAATCCTCGCTACGGCGGACTCCGTCCTACCGGATACGCAAGCCAAGCGCGGTAAATCGTCAAACGGCATGCCTTTGTTGACCTGGTAGAAAATTGGCCGGTCTATTTAGTTACTCACATAATATTGTAGAATTATTGTTAAAGACAAACAACATAGCAAAATAATGTTTGGAGTTTGAGGGCGTTTTTTAAATTAATTTATTACATATTGATAAACACAATGAATTCAATATTTTTTTTATCTTTTTCTGAGTATTCCTGTTTTGTTCATATTAAGCCTTTCATATTTGGACAAAAAATAATGTTTTTGTTATCGTTGTTTTAATACACAACGATAACAAAAACAGTTTTTAGAAATATTCGTAAATTGTAAAATTTTATTACTACGATTACAAAATGCTGATCTCCCACCTTGTCTCTGGCGACATTCTTCAAGAGAACGTGGGCGTTTGCACCACCGAAGCCAAAGCTGTTAACACCAGTCATGCCGCGGTTCCAGGGTTGCTTCTCTGTAACCACTTGGAGACGGTTCTCAGCCAGGGCTGCCACGCCTTCACGGGGAACTTTGAAGTGGAGATTTGGTGGAAGATAACCGGTGCTGTAAGCTATGCAAAGCTGAAATAATATTAATTGCTGTGGTACCATCGCTGTGGAAGATGTTACTTTATTTGACCTTACATAAATATTTAGATGAGGGTAAATTATTTTATATGTTTAATCCATGATATTAGTTCTAATATTGGTTATAATGCTAAGAACTTGGTAGTTAGGATAATTAATTCTAAACACCTATAAAGTATAGTAGGTGGTTAGGATATTAATCCTAACCTACTTGATAATTACCATTGGTATGTAGTAAATGATTGGTATGTAGTATTAGGCGATAAACGCACTAGCTTAGGAGAAGGCTCACTCGTGCTTTCAATAAATTTTTGATATAGCTAGTATTTCAATTAAAATAATAGAAATGACTAGTTTTAACCAATCCCAACCTGAAACGTATCCTAATTCTTATGAATTTCAACTTATTGAATTCTTTTGAAGATCAACTTACTGGTTGCGGCGTTAAATAGAAACAAACGAAATCACACACAAAGTTAGAAGTTACCATTATTTTTGTGATCAGGGGTTACAAAGTTTAAAAAGTGCCGCCTGACCATGGAAATGGAATGATAATGTGAAGAAAAATGGTAGTTCGTAAGCATTAGGCCAAAGAGAGAACCTTGGGCTCTTTTAATTTCCCCTTTAAGCCACTGCAGAGGCTTGAAGACAAAAGATTGCACTGGCTACTTAGTTAGTTAGGACGAATTAAATCAGTGCTGGTTGATTTAACAGTGGATTGCTGCTGGTTCAAGTTACTGAAGGTGTTATGAACCTCATATACTAGATACTCACTTTAGCGATGGAGCAAAGACCGGATGCAGGCTCGCTGTGCCCCAAGTTGGATTTGACGGATCCTATCATCAAGGGCTCTGAGCGACCCGTGCAGAACACTTCATCGATGGCCAGTAGTTCCTCAGGGTCACCGACTTTAGTACCTACAATTAATAGTACTCTTCTTAGATACTGTGAAATTGGAGCACATTTGAGCACGTGTAGAATAAAATCATCACAAATATCAGTCAACAATCATTTATTAATTTTTTTAATCAAATCAAAAATATCTTTATTCAAATAGACGCTTGCGCGCTCTTATGAATCGTCAAATTTAACATAATTATATATATGTTCGTAAGGTTCCGCGGTTCGAAAAGCAGTTTCTGCTGAGACGAGACCGGCAAGAAACTCAACAGTTGCTCTTTTCAATATCAGTTTACAATATAACATACAGGTATAATGGTCTTGTTTATACTTTATTGTACACCAAAAATGTTAAAAGCAAATTAAAAATGAATGTAAAGGTAGTACAATAGGCGGTCTAATCGCTCGGAAAGCGATTTCCTCTAGACAACCATTGCGAAAAGAATTTTTTCTATAGAGAAATCGTATAGGCTATCAAAATATAAACAAAATATTGAATAGTCTTATCGTGATTAAAAGCTGTGCTGACCGAAATGTATTTTCTGGCAAGCTATTATTGCTTAGTGGTTACGAAAGCAATGTTTTAAAGAAATATAGATCTTAGAGATTTAAAACTTTCGTTTAAAGTTACTAATATTAATATGTTGCAGAATGAATTTAATATTTTCTCAAGTAACATGAATCATTCTAAAGCAGCGTCTGTAAGTAATTCCTTTTTACGCGTCATAATGTTTTTTAGTTTCCTTTTCTCTTTGGAGGAAGGGATCTTCACTCGTCCTTTACAGCTTTTATCAAACTTGAGGCTTATTTTAACATATCTATAGGGAACCTTACAAGTGTGTACATTTTTCAGTAGTTGTAAGGGTCTAGTGAAGAATACGAACCGGTGCCGTGCGCCTCGACATATTCCAGGGTGGACGGAGGGATGGAACACTCCTCGTAGAATTCGTTCAGCAGCAACTTCTGGATCTGACCGGCTGGGTACGTTATACCCTGCTCCTTGTATCCATCGCAGTTGGTTTTAGCGTGTAGAAGCTGTGCGTAAACCCTGTAAGAAAGGACTTAAGTTTGTCACCGCTTTCTCTAGCCACAAGGTAATATATGTTCGTTGTTAAAATATTTTTCTTTAATGTTCATCTAGCTTTTTATCTGGAAAGGTTAAGTTAACACTATCCATATAAATGTAAGGAATCTCTAGGGTTGAAGATTCCTTCCCAGGAGTTGAAAGTGTGCGGCCTGGGAACTTCCCTTGAGTGGAACATCTGGAGAGTGCTCCAGATTAAACACTAAAGCAATACATTATTGCTATATTCTCCGTCTTTTGTATGGTGTGTTATATGCCAGTACGTCGGCCCATTTGGGGAGCAGAAGCTGTTTGCTTGGCTTTACAATGAATAACCAATACCAATAATGCGTGATCTTGTCTTCGAATATTTTTCTTGTTTGCCGCGGCAAGCTTTTTTAAAGCAAGCTGTTTATTATAAGGAAAGTTTGTACAAACTTTAAACGAAGTCAGACAAACAGGGTAGGCAGAGATAATAGCTATTGTTCCTGAAGCTTATTTAGTCCCAAATATGACCATTGTTTGAGTCTGTTTCCTTACTCGGGAAATAATGAAGAGACAAATATGGCCAATTATTTTTGAACTTCTTCTTTGCGTGTCGATATTTATGAACTGAAAACCAGGAAAGTTATAGTTGTACGTCTCTTGATTAGAACCCGTTCGCAATTCCATCGTCCTGGCTGTTATAACCGTTTATATATTTGGAGGCATTGACCGCAACTATGTCAATGGTGAAATAAATCATAGACAATCCTAATATTCTCTTACCTTCTTGAGTCTTTAGCCTTTTGCAGGAAGCAAACGACGATGGCTTCGGAGCGGGCGTAGCCGTTAGCGCTGTTGTCAAAGCTCTTGCATCTGCCGTCCGCCGATAGCACTCCCAGTCTACAATTTGACCATTAGTGATGGGATTAGATTTAAGATTTAAAAAAAAGCAAATTTGCGTTTTCCGGTATTCTTAGACAATTTCAATCCTCTAAAATGTGTATAAATCAATACTTTAAAATGTGTAGAAAAAAGTACGAAAAGATTTTCGCCGCTGGGGGAATCTAACCCCTTCGGTATTCGCGCCCAGACGCTTTAATCACTAAGCTAAGCAGCTGATCAGCTGTGGCTGATTGCCACACCGACAAATAAATATAATATATACTAATATATGTAATATATTAATATAAATTTGATGCGTCGTCTTAAGTGCACGAATTAGCACTATAAAAATTTATACATGGATTCATGGTTGTCGATTGATGGTTTGAATTACATAATCCCCCTTAAGTATATCTCCAATCTGGTGGATGTCTTTTGCAATAGGTGGAAACAAAAACGATCTTAGAAAAAAAAGTAAGATTATTTAAATTACCTAGAGAACTGCAGAGAGACGTATGGATGTAGGCACAAGTTGGAGCCGCCCACGATGGCTGCGTCGCAGTGGCCGTCGCGGATTGCTCTGAACGCGTGCTCAAGTGCGTAGAGGGAGCTGGAGCAGGCTGAATCGACTGTATACGATGGGCCGGTGACGCCAAGCCAGTAGGATATACGGTTGGCCAACATGGCACGGGAACACCTACGAAGCAAAAACAACATTAAACGCGTCAGCCCACCTCAAACGCAGGTGCGACAGATAAGAAAACCGGCCAAGTGCGAGTCGGACTCGCGCACGAAGTGTTCCGTACCATCGTCTATAAAAACGGCACAAAAATATGTCTGTTATATGGGATATTTTTCATTGTTTTTAATATTTGTTATAGCAGCAAAAGAAATACATCATCTGTGAAAATTTCATCTGTCTCATTATTACGGTTCATTAGATACAGTCTGGTGATAGACGGACATACAAGCAGACAGACAGACAGACAGACAGTGGAGTTTTAGTAATAGGGTCCCGTTTTATCGTTTGGGTACGGAACCGAATACAAGCTAGAGGGAGTTTATTTACATTTCACCATTTTTTTTTATTCCATTAGCCACTGATATATTATTCAAAATAAGGGCTTTTGGGTAAACGCAAAGAAGGATGGATCTGGTGATTTTATACATTCGCGGAGTTACCTCGAATGAAATAACGAGTCTTGTAACTTTCATCTTTCGGATGGGAACAAGCTTGCCCTACAACAGAAAAGTTTGAAGAAAACTCATTCCCTCTAATTGAAGATTTAATTTTTTTTTTTACTTATTTTGACGTGGCATTAAGGCGTTGCTAACTCCATATTTATCCCGTCACTTCTATACAAATTACATTTAACTTCGACATTAATTTTAAAGAACCTGATTAGTACGATGATTATATCGAGCCTAGTATATAAACTTCCAATTTCAACTTTTATTAAAATCTATTAACCCAATGGGAAGTGATATTAGAACAAATAGACAGATACATTTTTGACTGTATTCAAAAACGTGTCTGTAAGTATACTATTAGAAGCAAGTATTTTAAAAATGTTGACATTAGTTATGAGTAAGCAGTAATTTTTTAATTTCTCACCCGGTGACTCCGAAGCCATTGACCTGCATTTTTTCGTAGAACCAAGTCTTCTCGGATTCAGAGAAGCACGCTCCAATAAACACGCCCGTCTTTGTGTTACGGAGCTCTTTAGGGTTGAAACCTAAAAAATAAAAAAAACAGGGTTAATAATAACATGAGTCATGAGCTTAGAAATGTTTCGAATGCAAATGAATGACGATAAAGAAGTGACCATTTTAACGTCGAACATAGTTTTTATAATTATAGTAAAAATTAAAGTAACAGCCTATATATCCCACTGCGGGGCAAAAGCCTTCTCTGCTATATCGAAATGTTTTGTTTTAAATTATTATTTCGAAAATATACAGGTTTCCACGTCACGACGTTGTCCTTCGGCGTTGAGCTCCAGATTAGTCAGCACTTAAAATTGCAATTGATAGTTATTGCATCAGTGCCGGTACCGAGAATTGAGTTCAAATTATTATACAGAGTATTTTTTTAAATGTACTATTGATAGAAAAAATAGCTTGCTATAATCAAAATGTTTATTATATTACACTCTATTTGAAAGGTTTTTGCAAGTGGTACTTTTCTGTAACATTATATCCTTGTAATGTGAATTCTGTATCATGCAATTGCTTAAATGTGTAGAGCTAAAAGTATTGAGTTATTACAAGTATCTCAACGGTGGTAGGGCCACGCAGCAGCCTCGGCTGTTGCGCGAATGGGCAGGCTCGTCCGGGTGAGTACCACGACCTCACAGAAGACCAGCGTAAAGTGGAAGTATAATACTTTCGCGTTTCGTCTGGTGAGTGACTTAGCCGGAGCCCAATTTTCAAAAGGGTGTCAACGCATCTGCAAACCCTTGGGTGTAGCAGATGTCCATGGGCGGTGGTATTCACTTAACATCAGGTTAACCACCAGTTCGTTTGGCAACTTTTCACATTACAAAAAAAAGTATATAACATATTAACATCTCTTTTCAATAAAACATGTTTAAACGAATCATCTGATACACCTCAGTATTTTTAGTATTGAGCCTAATATCGAAAAGGTTATCGGAATTTAAAGAAATAAAATCGTAGCGAAGAGCCACCTAAAGTGCGGTCATGCTATTCCAACACTGCGGAATACAGATTAACTTGGCGTATTTAATGAACGAATTTGAATTCTGCTAGGCGGCCGCGGCGCCCGAAACGCTCCTGTGACAACATTGAGTTATAATTACTGTCAGTGTAAAACTTTTAATGGATTCGCAGATAAGGGGACGGCTCCTACCGCTCAGTTGATTTGTAAGAATCGCGGACGTTTATTTATGACGACACTCTAATAAAATATTCGGTTCATCTTCCTTTACTTCGTTTTTTGTCTCCATTTAGTATCATTCCGTTGACGTTTATAGAGCACGAAAATGTCTTTGATTTGCTAATTACGAACGATATATATTATACGTATATCCGACCAATTTACCTTTACTTCGTACAATGTAGTGGCTCATTATCAGCGACATGTTCGTAATGTTATTAGATTGGATATTGTGATCATTTTATTATTCAGCTTGGACCTTGTAATGCTTCTATGTTTAGTCGGTTTAGTCGCTTTTTAAAATTACATACCTCGTGTATTTAGATTCCAGAGCCTTTATCATTAATTAGGGTAAGAAGGGAATAATTTTGAAATATTTCTCTTGTATCGAGAATGTTAGAATGGTGGCTTTTAAATTCAGAATGAAAAGTTGTTTGACTAGCTTGGCCACTTATCCTCTTCGTCTTCAACACTTTCTACTATCATCAGATTAAGCAATTATTATTAAATTAAATTAAATGTTGTAGAAGCTTGTTAATTTACTATAGGTATGTCATATCTTTTTTTTTTACTTATCCTATTGGTTGATCCTATACTCGGTTTTACGGTGGTAGGGCCGCGCAGCAGCCTCGGCTGTTGAACGAATAGGCAGGCTTGTCCGGGTAAGTACCACGACCTCACAGAAGACTGGGCGTAAAGTGGAAATATATTACTTTCGCGTTTCGTCTGGTGAGTGAGGTAGCCGGAGCCCAATTTTCAAAAGGTTGTTAAAGCATCTGGTACCCTCGGGTGTAGCAGACGTCCATGGACGGCGGTATTCACTTAACATCAGGTGAACCGTCTGCTCGCTTGGCAATTTTCCACATGAAAAAATACCCTATATAAGGGGCTAATATTACGTATCTGGTAAAAGATTCAAATAACGCTTCAATTCAAAGTTTGCGAGTTATTTAATTAATTAAATTGTCGAAGGATTTCTGATCCATTTCGTCCTCGAGGGAGTTCTATAGATCGATATAAGGAGTAGTGAAAGGTAGAAGGTGTAAGATAAGGAAGGTAAAGTCGTGTTCACAGTTTTAAAAGTTATATCGCACATATTGTCATTCACGAACGAAATACAACGATATACAGCGTGTCGTTACCAACGCGACAATAAATGAACACACATATAGAGGATAAATTTTTAAAATTGTATTAAACATTTACATTCTTCAAACATCAATATTTACCGAGTTATTAAATTTTCCAAAACAAACAATTTTAGAACACCCTTACGTATAAAACTGTAACGTAAAGTTCATTTGTAAAGGTCACAAAGCATATGAATGGGTTGACTGAATTTAAAAGAGATAAAACATACTGTTAGAAGGAGAAGCTTGTAATGCGACGCTGTGGCGCGAATTGTATAGGATGTTACAAATTTTGTTTCTATTTTACTTAATTAGTTTGTTTGAAAAATATTTTTTTTTAATTATGGATTTTGTTTAACGTTAATATTTTTTTATGATTATTGGCAAGTAGCGTTAGACGTGTGTTCATTTATTGTCGCGATGGTAACGACACGCTGTATACTATATATGTACTTCAGAACCGTCAACGGCTGCATTGCCATTTACCATCAGGTGGGATGGCAGTCAAGAGCTGACCAGTTTTGAATTAAAAAAAAGGAATGGCTGCGTAAGTAGGGTGCAAAAAAATCTCCACTACTGGAAAATATAGTGTTTTTCTGGTGTCTGGGTGTTAAAATATGTTTAATATGTAGTTATTTACAAAAGAAAAGTATGTTTATCAGTTTTCTAGTGCCCATAGTACGAGCATTGTTTAGTTTGAGTCTAGAGAAGGTCGTATAAAAATGTGTCCTAAAAATTTTCTGGAACCAGGACCATTATCTAAATGAGCCAAATGAGTTATGGCGACAAAAAAGTTTTAGGCGATTTTAATCTATCCCTAATTATTATAGGTAATGTCATACAGTTTTCTTAGGATTTACGATTTGTATATTCTGTTATTATTTGTCAGAGGTTGTGACGTCATCCTAAGTGGTGCAAAGCTTCCGTAGATTACAAAATGGCGTTAACAATGAACGCGACAAATTTTATCTGCTTCGAGGCTCTGAATATCTGGATCAAATAAATTGGTCTCATTTCGAACAACGATAGGACCGGAAGAAAGTAAGTTTTTTGTGTTAACATAAAAAATTCGGCTTTCTCGATCTTCTTATTCCGTAACTCGATTTGCATCGCTATTTCCAATTGTAACAAGTTTTTTTTTTATCTTAAAATTGACTCACTAGACTGTATTGTACGACTTGTTCTCGTAATGCCAAAATAACTAAATATTGTTATCGTTGTACGCTTATATAACAAGATAAAAAATGAACTAACCTTAAACATTAAATACTATATTGTTCAAATTAAATTGCACGATGTTTATCAGGGATGGCAAAATATGCTGTTCTAAAATGTTAATAATAACTTGTGTATATGTTTTATGCGAATTTATCATTATCAAAATTAAGAAAATACATAATTTTAGATAATTTATCTTCTTTCTCGGACTCTTATACCACCTAGGTGAGGTCGAAAAAACACGACTCGCATTTTGCTAATACAATTGTCAGTCGACGTCAGTTTTCGGAAGTGAAGCTTTGAGGAGGTTGTCACTTACCAGCATCGATGACAGCCTCGTATGCCTTCTCCAGGATGATTCTGCACATGGGGTCCATGGTGTGCGCCTGTTTGAAATGAACGCCGAAGAACGAGGCGTCGAACTTGTTCACATTGTTGATTTTTCCAGTACGCTGTGGTATCTCGGGATGGGCGAGCTTCCAGCGGCGTCCGTCGCCGGAGATCAAGTCGACCTGGTAATTTTTTCATAATATGTAATGTCAGCAAGTTTAGCTGTGATACGGCCACGCAGCAGTCTTCACTGTTTCGCGGTAGGTCCGTCTGGGGAGTAATATATTAATAAATGGTGGCAACGCATCTGCAATCCTACGGTGAACTGTCTGCTCGCTTGCATTTTTTTTATGTAATAAGATGACAAGCAAGCTGTAGATTCACCGTATGTTAAGTGATGAACGCCGCCCATGGACGTTTGCAACAGTCGCGATCTCCTTTTGTTTGCAGAATCGGTGCGTCGAAACGCGAAGGTATGTATTTCTACTAGAAGTCTGTTTTCTGCGAGGTCGTGGTACCCGGAGAGCTTGCTCAATCTAGTGCAACGGATCTCACGGAGCTTAAGGTCTCTTGGCTAATCTCATAAAAAATATCTTAAATTTCTGGCGTACCTTGTTAAAAAGGTTTTCCTGTAAGTGGATGACTGAATCGGAATCCGGGAAGTATCCCGCGCACCCGGTGATGAGGACTTCATCACCGGGGGTCGGGTGAGACAGGCGGTGTCCAGATGTTAATCTGTCTTCGGTTAGCGTTGTTGGCGGCATCTGGAACAATATAACAGTTAAGAAGACCCTCTTCACACATAAGTACGTGAGTTTGTCCCACAGTTGGGCTCCACATTGTCAAACAAAACAGATACTTCAAATCTGAAAAAGTTAAAATTTCACTTATTTTCGATTTGATTGAAAGTATGAAAAATTGGTCTTAAATAATTACAAAAAAGATTACGAAAAAAGGACATAAATTCTATATGTGTAATTTTATAGTCATGTCTATTTTATTATATTAAACATTTTTATTACATTTAAATTACAAAACAAAACCTGTAACGATGTTTAAGTGAATTTAGTGCACTGAATGAATATTTTCGTTGTAATAGCATAATGAAGAACGACATTAAATAATTATTACTAAGGCAATGCAAAGATAAATTAACCGTAGTGTCAGTAATCTGATTTACCCCCTTACTTGATCAGCCACTCTTAATATGTTTACCACAAACGGTTTTATTACATTTGCATATATTTATTTCCACTAGGGTCACTGTAAGTAAAAAAATTTACATTGAACTCAGCACTTCAAGCCGAGGATAGGGTAACAATGAAAACTTTGGATGCACATTTAAAACTGATACCTGACTTAGGTCCCCGAAGGTCTATGCCATCTTCGGGGCTAATAACGCCATCGAAATCTAACCAAACTCTACCGTGCTACAGCAATGAAACTAACGCCGCCATCTTGTGAAACGTCAATGTTTATTTTCTTCAGGCTAAATGAATGTATCTCCATATATTTTTTGAAATAAAGACCGAGCGTGTAAGGCATAAAACTTAGTATAATTGATTAAAACATGATAAAACTTTCACAACATCTTCTTACAGGATTCGAACGCTTTATTGACTAGACGCTTTTAAGTGTCATCTTAAGAGTTAAGACATAGTGAGGGCATAAAAAATAAAATTCAAATATATCTACTAGATTTTCCGTAATGCGCGCACAACGGCAGAAATCATTTTATGTATACAATTATGTCAACATTATGTCCAGATTTTGTCTAAAATAACTTTAACAGGATAGTCAAAGGGAGATCAGAGCTTACCAGGGTCACACTGAAAGTTTTTAGAACTGGCCGGTTAGAAACATTTCCAATGATAACTTTGCATTCATTTTTCATTTGTTTTTGGGAATTGGCGGCAATTCCAAGTGTCTTGTTACACCTCAAACTGAATTTAGCGTGAGATTTTTTTTGTTTATGGCTGAACAAGACTTTCGTTTTAGTCTTACTTAACAAGAAAGCTGACTGGTAGACTTCGATTGAGATTTAATATTAAATCTCCATCACGTGCTACTTGTTTAATGAGTTTGAGAATTAAGCGTGGGCGTGGCAATATCAGCTATGATCAGCGTGACGTTTTCTAACGGCGACATGTGAAGATAACGTCAGTGCTGGGCGACGCATGATAGAAGAAGACAAGAGAGTGATCGTCAGATTCGGGCAAGTTTAGGCATTGGTATGAGTCAAGTACAAAAGATATTACATGAACTCTTAAACGTCAGGAAGCTTTGTATCAGACGGATTCCCCGTACTTTGCCCGAAGATTAGAAACGCCTTCGCATGGATTTGTGGTGCGAGTTGAACGGAGGTGCCTGTAATGCTGTGTTTAACATTCCCACATGCGATAATAGATGGATTTGTTGCTACGGATCCGAAACCGAAAGAAAAGCTGCTCAGTGGCTTCCAACTAAAGTAAAGAAAGGAAGAAGTCTAGGAAAAAAATATGATTTGATACGGTTCCACTGGAAATCAGCATTCACGAAGCTTAATAACTCCGTGAACTCATGCTGAGTGGAAACCTATTTGGTGCATTTGAATTGTATTTCGTTTTATTGTAACAATTTTCATTTATTTATGTACCAAATAAACTTTTCTTTCTTTATTTCTTTCTATTTCCTTTTTTCTCCTGACAGGTCATTTCAATACAGTTGCGCTGGAAGATGGAAAGACAGTTACTGCTGACTGGTATGTTAACTGTTGTTTGCCTGCTCTATTGGAAAATGTTCGACAGCATCGTGCTCGAAGCAGAATCCTCCTTCACCACGACGACGCCTCAGCGCACACCGCGAAACGAACAGTTGAATATTTGAATATGGTAGGTGTCAAGATAGTGAGTCATCCACCATATAGTCCTGACCTGGGGCCCTGTGACTTTTATTTATTTCAAAAAATCAAAGACAAACGTCGACGTATTCGATTTACGGGCCTGCATGTGGATGTGGTAAGTGCGTTCAAAAATGCCGTGGAGAAGAATGGACCCACTGCTTTTCTCAGTGGTTTCATAGAATGGGAACATGCATTGAGAGGAACGGAGACTTTCGAACAACAATAAAAGTAATAGCAACTTTCTACTTTGAGCCGTTTTTTATTTTTTAGGAACTTTTAGTGTGACCCACGTATTAATAATAAGGTAACAAGTAAACGTGTTAATAATAAGGTGGTAAAAATATCAAGTTTTTGGGCACCAAAGTATTGTCGTCACTAACGCGGTGGACGTGAAAAACATGTGAATACATTAGCATATGGGTTTTGCCTTGCAAATGAGTGTGTGTTGAACTACAACGGTCCGGGATCGAATTTTAATTGTATAAATTAACTCCATAAATGATTCAATTGTGTTATGTGACCCCGGGGTCAGTATGGAATTCAATTAGATAATAATTAATATTACATTAGTCAATCGAAAAAACACTGCGCTATGAAAAGTTTTAAAGGTATCAAACCTTCCAATCAACTTATAAATTCCTTAATCCTTCTACTTGATTGACGAAATGACTTTTATTGGGATTTTTAAAATGGGATATTAGTGATTATAAACTATTGTAATGAAGTACTTAACGTATGGAATTTATTTCCAGTAGGTAGTTAAATAGTTTTAATTGCGAGTAAAAGAAATTCTTGAATTAAGAAGGCGGGATTTCAAAATATTTGCGAATTTACGAAAAAGAGTTCTGTTCGTAAGTCACAACTGAGACCCAATTCATAATAACTTTAATTTTGTCAAGTAATTTTGACCATTGTCGTATGGTTTTTGTAAATGTTAAAAAGGCAGCTTTGACATACTTGTTAAAGCTTCCTTGGTAGTTAAACTGCACTAAATAGACTTCGTGTACTGAGCGGGCGAGATTTTAAATATTTGCAAATTTCTGAATAAGAGTAAATCATAATTGAGACCCAATTTGACAATGACTTTGATTTTATCAAGTTATTGTTAGGATTGGTCGTATGATTTTTGTAAATAACACTATTTGAGAATCTTCGATTTCATTTTGGACTGTGAAATAATACTGTTTCATCAAGAATCTAACAAAGCTTTCGGTACCAAATCTTCTGTTTGCCTTTTTTGTCACCTGTTAACCAAAACATCACAAAATAACCAAAACAACACAATTTATAATGCATTGTAAGTATATATTAATTGTAGTCACCTGCCATGTTCCGGAAAGCTTTACTCATCACATAATAGAAACATTTTTTTTAAATAAAACTTTTAAAACCTTATTCTTGTTTTTCTATTACCTTATTTCGCAAAATACTTTGTTACGGAAGGTAACAAAGTATTTTTGTAGAATAAATTTTAAAAAAAGAAATCACCAGTAAAATAAATTATAATATAAAAACTACTAAAGTCGACAAATATTATTCGTGTAACTTACTTCTATATAATGTAAAAAGAATTAATTTATTTCAAGTTGGTGTGAATTCGCTGTCAACTCAGGTTTAAATTCTATATCTCTCTCTACTTTCTCTAATGTCTCCCAAATATAAAAAGGAGGAAGGAAAGCCACTTAATTTTATTTTGATATCTTTACATTTTATAAAAGTAGAAGACAATGAAACGAGCTTTAGCGTTGAAGAACCAATAATAGCTGTATTGGAAGGGCAGGGCTGACTGGACTGGCAAAGGACTGACTTATTCATTAAGGCTTTACATAATTTGAAGATATCCCGTTGTGCCAACCCTTATAATTATGTAGGTTTGGAATCGAAACTTAAACGTTACGAACACAATGTATTAGGGTCAAAAAAATTGAGGTAAACATTATCCTTTTGTCAGATGGTTTTCTCTCTGCTACACTCATATAATCTCGCTTCATGGTGAATTTGTATGATAATCGCTCTCAGATTCTCATCAATTATCTAAATATATGAGAGACCAGAGTGGTCACATAAGCTTCGCAACTAGACAATTTGAAAGATTGCTAATAAGATTCAGATATGACCTTTTTGATAACCAAGACTTGCTATCTAAACTTTGGAAATACTGCGGTGTTCTTCTAGTAATCTTCTGTTTTTCACTTTCCTTAAGGTGAAAACATCACAAGTAGGGTTCGCGAACAACGCAGCATTGGTCAGGCCGGTTTCAATATTCTTTAGATACATCTGTAGATTTTGTTACTGGAAATGCAATTTTGATGTAAGTGTTACGGAGGAGTACTAATGTCAAATACCTATCTTTAGTGATCAAATCCGGATGGATGGAATATTGAAACTGGCCGTTAGAAGGTAAAAACACTTGACTCACCTTGATGTCAAATTTCGATTATCAAAATGACTTTGGAGTCAATTTTTTTAAAGTGACTTTCGTGTGCGATCGAGATGCTAACTCTCCGCGTTGACAGGTGGCCGTCTGCTGCGCGTCTGGACTCCGGGCGTTCTTGCGCGTTGTTTATAAAATGCTTTACGCAAAAAGATTATACAGGATGTTCCAATTGCGGCGATCGCACAATAAGTGGTTTTGGATCCGTATTTAAATGAACCTGGCTTAATGACATTTGACTTATGCTCTAAACCCAATAATATACAAATATGAAGTAGTTATGACAATCGCGCACCAAACTGAGGCACTCAAATTACACCAATTGATGTAATTTGATTGCAATCCTATAGTCTTCTTTCTATCTCTTTTCGTATCATACATTTTATATCATCTGTCACATTCACTTACATAATTGTGTCATATAATGTAAAGCGGAACACTTTTTATCG